CCCCAAAACCCCAAAACCCCAAAACCCCAAAACCCCAAAACCCCAAAACCCCTTATTAAATTTAGATTATTGAAGCGTCAAATGGAAAGTAAGACAATTTAGTGACTTTTTGGTATCAATTACTTAATTATCCTGAATTGAGCTACTGTTACTACCAGGAATAGATCTAGATAAGAGAGTAGCTTGTCTTTGAAAATGAATTAAGACTCTTTCTTAAGATCATTAGTGACATCGTCAGTTGATCCTTTGTGATAAATGCCAACATCGGTTGGTTTTCTCTCCGGCATTTCAACTTCAAGGTGCTTACCAAGTACTTTAACACAAGCTTCAAAGGAGGAGATGGAGCTTCTAAGATCTTCCAGCTCTCTTCTGACTCTATCCTCAGGGGTTTCTGTCCCATAATTTCCTCTGAGAGCTTTCGCTATCTGGCTGAATCTCAGAAGGTATTTTCTGAAGAGTTTTAGCTTCTTGGAAACATAGCTTGAATTAGGACTCCCTGCTTCTTCTGCTTTTCTTTTGGCTCTTTTATGTCTAAACCCAGTTGTAATTACATTAACAGCCTCAAGTTTGAGGGCTTCTTTGTTTTCTAGCCTACTGATGAGCTCATAGGATCTTGTCTCTGATTGGTCGAGTTTGAGTAGGTTATCAAGGGTGATCAAAAACAAAGAGACAAGATATACACCATAGAAGGCGCAGATAATTCCAAGTATTCTACTTGGAATACTCTTTGGGAAAAAGTCACCGTATCCGACAGTGGTCATCGTAACGATTGCCATCCATACAGGGTTAGTGATCTGGTTAAAATTTTGCTCTGAAGTTGTTGACAAGTCCTGATCAAACATTCTTATCAGATAGCCGAAGTAGAAGGTGCTGATTACTAAATTTGTCAGCAGAACAAGGTATGGTTGATTTTTCATTAAGCATTTAATGGAGAAGCCAAAGCTTGCATAACATCCATTCATCTGGCAAACCCTTTGAGCTCTGGTTGACATATAGAATCAATTGGTAAGAAATCATCTCGATATTAGATAAATTCTTATAAAGCTCCAGGCGAGTAAAATATCGTTATACCAGTGATTTATTTTGTAGCTGTAATTTGTGTTGTTCTCTTTGAATGTTTCGTCATAAAGAAATGGTAGCGGAGAGATAAGTCAGATAAATCATTCAGCAATTAAGGTCTTGTACATCCCAGTATTGAATAAGCCATCTATGTTCGAGACGAACCCTCTTGCTTTCATCCAGCTGAATTCCATTTTGTACGAGAATAATAAAGAGAGACACAATAACAGAGTTGTAATCAAGTTTACTGTCAGGAGAGCAATCCTGAGATTTTTATTGTCTTTGTAGCCGTACTCAAACCGGATTTCTCTCTCAACAATTCAGATGCCAAGGCCTACTATGCCAAGGTAAGCATTACAAGCTTGGGCAATTCTGAGTCTTGAAAAGGCTCTGTTAACAACTCTTGCGTCTCCGACTAACTTTGGAGGTCCCTTTTCAGCTTCTTGAGGTTCTTCGTCTGAGTCTATTTCTGGGACATTGAAATTTGATGGGATTACCACAGGTACAGTGTTGGTTAGACCTCCTCCACCTCTACTGTGTGGTACAAGATGAGCCATTTGCTAATTTATTATTTAATGAAATTTTAACTTGGGGTTTTGGGGTTTTGGGGTTTTGGGGTTTTGGGGTTTTGGGGTTTTGGGGTTTTGGG